CGACCATGTAAGTTTTCAGTGGTCATCATATGAGCAACCAAGAACTCGAACCTGAAACCACAGAGGGAGCAAACATTTTAGTCCCAAGTCTTTACTACTTGGCCACCACTTACATGATTGAATTATTAATGCAATTATTTTTTTTTAAATTAACGTGGGTGTCTGGACCAGCTTACGTACCATGACTATTTTTTTTATCAATGCAATTATTAATCAGTAAGGTCGTTGTATTGTACCCCAAGGCAGTGTAAAGAGTTTACCACGATCTCCACGTTTTATTTTTTATTTTTCCTAATTTTATGGCAAGGGAGATAAGGGAAAAAATTAGCGGTGATTTTGTAATTTTATGCTGGCATGAATAGTTTTCGTTTGTTTGTTACCAGGGGGCAAATAAAAAAACTGTTAAACTAAAAAAACTATAAAAAAATAATTGAAGTAATTAAATTGTGGAAAAACCAATTACTATAGTTAACAAACTGAGTGGTAATTTTAGTTTTATTGAAAAATCAAATAAAAATTAATAACCAAACTAGACTGAGAAAAATTGAAATCAAACCAAAAAAACCAAGTTGGATAAAAAAACCAAGTCAAGTTAAAACCAAACCAATTAAAAATTATAAAACAAAATTCTAAAAAATAATATAATTTCTGGTTTTTAATATAAAATAAATAAACTGAATAAAAATTCATTGATTTAAACCAATTTTTGTTTTTTTAATTTAATTTAGTTATTTTTTAAATAAAAACCAAATCAAATTAAAAATAATTACTATTTTTTATTAATCACGGGCTTACAATACAACGAGAATGATTAAAAAAAAAGTTGCAAGGCAAAAACTTACAACAACAGTTAAAAGAAAAATATATTCTGACTGGTCGCGATTGCAGAGAATCCAGATCATGTTTGAAAGTGAGGAGTGAAATGATGTGAATAGAAAGAGTTTTGTTGAAACAAATAAAGTAAAAATAAATAAAAAAACCAAATATAGTTTTATTATTACATAGAAATTAAGAATAAAGGAAGATTTTTTTCCCCCTTAAGCATGCTATATTGTTTTTATATTTTAAAAGAATATAAATTCATTTAAAAACTTGTAATTTTTTATAATTTTAATGTTTATTTTTTCAATTAAATATATTTTATATTTTTATATATTTATATTTTTTACTTTAAAACACTAACCACATGTAACTTGAAAATTTTAACCGAGCAAGTTGGTTGATTTCACGGTTTAAAAAGACCACGGTCACGGGTCACCCCGAGCATGCCCTTGACGAGGTTACCATTGTTCTAGCTCAAGGGAATTTGTCTTCGATGTAATTAACATTCTGATTTATGAGTTGATTAGGGGGCCTTTTGTAATCAAACCCTAACTAAGGTAATTTAAGGACTAAAGAAATCCTAGTCTCTCAGGTCATTGGAGCCTAGACAGGCAAGAACGGGATGTTCGGGTTCGATGCCCATTTGCCAGTTGTAAGTTCATGTCCAAAAATCAGTTGGATGTTCTCCACTTGGTCCTTAGCTTTTTATTTCCTAGTTGATTTGTGTTTTTACACATGCAGAACTATAAAAAAATTAATATAGCTTTTTATTGACCTCATGGTTGGCTTGAAGCTAGCTTCATCATTGATCAAATGATCGCTCCAGAATTTTTAATCAAATATAAAAATTATATTAGTACAGTAAAATTAATAAATTAAGAATTATTAAAAATATATAAAAAATACCCTTGATCCTAGTTATCAATAAAATCCTTCATATGAAAAACCCTGCAACTAAGCCCTTATTCCCTCGAGTTTAGTTGAATTTATTCATTGAGGCCTTTACCCTTTTTTTTTTCTTGGTTTGAAATCTGTGCAATATAGTTTATGGTCTTTTTAAAAGTGTAATTGTGATTATATTTTAAAATATTTTTAATATTAAAATATATTAAAATAATATTTTTTTATTTTTTAAATATATTTTTCGAGATTAATATATCAAAACAATAAAAAACACATAAAAAATAATGTTTTGATAAAAAAAATTAAATTTTTTAAAAATACAATTTATACTGTATTTTCAAATAATATTCTAGTCATGAAATAGGATGAATCACAATAAAAATTGTGGATATATATGAATTCAATCTAAACAATAAAATAATAAATTGAAATATTGTGGATATATATGAATTCAATCTAAACAATAAAATAATAAATTGAAATATGAATTGAATTGTAGGATTTGGCAGAGACCAGTGAGCAAATTATATAAAAAAAACAACAACACGTCTTAATTTCTGTGATTTACTATCCAATTATTCTCCACCTTCAATTTGCATTTAACATTTGATTTTATATTTTTCATCATGTATAAGATTTATTTTTTTCCTGATAGGCCAATCTTCACATTAATAATTAATGGTTCGGTCTAACACAATTAATTTAGTTGGACGTGTAAATTTTCCAAGCTTATATGCTTTAATTTTCCATTTTACACACTAATTTAATCCAAATACTTTATTTTTTCATTTCCCACGCTAATTTAATCCAAACTCGTTCATAATCAACACGCAAACTAAAAAATTAAGATCAACTTCCTAAATTTCTCTGGATTCTCTAGACTAGTTGTTCGGTTAATTCTAAACAAAACTCATAATCAATCATAACTTTCTTAATTCATCCCTTGACCATGTTAATTTTAATACAAAAAAATACAAAACACAATCCTTAACTTCCACACATGACCGGTTATTTATGGGATTTTTTCATGATTCAAGCTAGACTTTTTACAACTAATTACAATCTCATTTCCTTGGTTAACATTCCATGCTACACAGAAATAATCAAACCCAATTCTTCCAAATTTTAATCCTAGGCCGACCACTTGACAAGCAAGGAACCCCCGTTTTTGTTTAAATTTTCTTCCATTTGCATCAAATTCATATATTATCAACACAATTTAATCATAATTTCTTCTTGTTTGATTAACATTCTCCAAATGCTACTCTCCAATATGTGTATCATGCCCCCAACTGAAACTCTACCCCAAATACAATTTCTCAGGCTTCACGTTAATTCATTGACACCCAATCTCACAAGATTAAAGCAAGTTTTCGTTTCCCCTAGTTGCCTCTCATGGGCGGCCACAATGCAAGCCAAATGCCCATTGTTTTATTTCAATTTTTACTTGAAATTATTCTTATCTCCCATTCCATGCCAATTTAATCAAACTTCTATCGAACAACAATTTCCCTACTTTCTTTCATAATTCCTTCGTAGACCTTAGAGTTCAGAGATTTGAGACTTTTTAGCTCTAGATATCAACCAACCAAGTTAAAATATTTTTATATTATTTTTATAATCCAACATTAATAAAATCAACTCAAATCAACATTTTAACACAAAATATCATGAACTTTAATTTCAAGAATCGAGGTTTTTTCAATGCAAAATCAAAATTTAACTAGAAATTAAAATAAATTGGTTAGATATCTCGTACCACAAACAAAACATCGAATTGAACATGTTACTTGCAAGGATTTAATAGTTTTCCCTTTCCTCTTCGATCCTCCACTCCTTCTCTCACTAGCTTCCCAAACTTCCAACCCCTCCCCCCCTTCCTCCAACTTGATTTATTATAATGGATAGAAATCACAAGCTCGTGCTCCCATGTCCATGATCCAAGTAGATTTAGAGAAGAATGGACGAGAAGAACCAAATTTTCCTAAGCTCTCTTCGTGACAATGGTCGGGCGTTATTTAAGGGGAAGAGGAAGGATTTTTTCTTTATAATCACAACAATTCCACTCATTTGTGTCTTGCAGATATTTATTGTCAAATCCTTGTATGCCGGTGTAAAATACGTATAGAAATTTGTTATTATTTCTTTCAAGTTTCATACCAACTCACTTGAAATTTTTTTGCCGCCAATAATAAAAACTCTCTAAATTTTATTATTTTTCTATTAAAATTTATGTAGTGAAGTGTGAGTTTACCTTCACCAATGATATTTTTGTTCACAAATTCATACTTTAATTTATTTATGATTTTACACTATTTTACTGAGATTTTTCACTACTCATCATAAAAAATTTCTTTTAATTCTATTATTTTTGAATTGGGATTTAAACAATTTATTATGGGTTTCATTTGAGTCGATAATAAGAAGACTCGATACATGTGAGCATACAAAATTAATTTTATTTACATGAAATTCTTTTATAAAAAAATAAGAAAATTGAGTTTTTTATATAAAAATAGCAATTTTTAATCTATTTTTACATAAAAACAACCAATAAACACCTTATAATCTTAATAAAGTAGTTTTTCAATTCAAAACATCTTTAAATCGGTTAAAAATATAAAATCAAACTAAAAACTCTCTCCTACTCATGATATGTTTTTTTAGATAATATAAAAACTAAAAAGCACCTAAATAATGGTCATCTCCTGAAGTGAAATATATTGACTCTAAATTTGACCATTTTTATTACTGGAATCAAAGTAACCAATTGTTTTCTCTTTCCTCGGAAATTTTCCAACGACTCTCTTTCTCTTTTATGAAACAGAGGGACTATAATGTGAAGAAATTAATGTCCCGGGTCAAAATATAAAAGTTTAAAGTGGAAGAATTGTAAGGAAAAAAATCTTAAGTAAAATAATCCTTCATTTTTGCTTTAACGTCAACTTATATCTCTGTATTTTTTTTTCAAGTAATAAAATGATTTTTTTATAAAATTGAGTATTAATTATATAAGAGTATTTTATTTTTATGAGATAATAATAATTTTATATAAAATAAATTATTAAAATCAATTCTTAATTAATACAACATAAAATTAAAAATTAAAAAAAACATGATAATAATAATAAAATCACAAAATACTTTAGATTGACACTATATTATAGAAGATGATGGACAACGAAATCACAACTTTTTTTTTTTCACATAACGTAAATGTGATGTAGTGTACCTTTATAAAATTTCCAAAAATATCATTGAGCTATGCGAGAATAATTTTCTTACCAAATATTAACCTAACGGCCAATGAATTTCTTTGTTTCACTGTGACGAGTGTAGCTTTTGGGGGTTAAGTCCGATAACGAAGACTCACCCTCTTGTAGAATGCAAATTTCACGCAATTCATAAGAGCCTGGTACTTTTGGGCAGCAACAACAGTCAAAGCACTAAACACCGTATCAAGTAACCAAAAAAACAATCTCGAGAGAGAGATACAAATGGATTTGCAGGAGTTGTGGGCAATCCTCGGTCCTGCAGTCGCTGGTGCGGTATTTGGGACTGGATGGTGGTTTTGGATCGACGCCGTCGTTTGTAGCTCCGTTGCAGTCTCTTTCGTTCATTACCTTCCCGGTCATCTCTCCTTCTCTTTAATTTTCTCTTTCTATCTCTCAATTTCACGATATAATTATGCATGTGGTTGTTTTCGGATTGATTGATTTTTCTAGGGTTTTGCAACTGTAGGCATATTTGCATCTATTGCAGCTCTGATGTTTAATTGTGTTAGAAAAGAGGATATTGATTACTCTCCTTACGAGGAAGGCGAGTGGAGGTCTGCAATTCCCATCTCTCCCTCCTTTTTTTCTCTTCATTGCTTACGATGTTATTTTAATTCTTCAATTTTTTGTTAGAAACTCCTTTAAGAAACAATATAAAAAAGTTAAAAATCTGGGTTGCATTATTTTCTTCAATTTTCTGTTAGAAACCCCTTTAAGAAACAATATAAAAAAGTAAACAACCTGGGTTGCATTATTATCTGCTTAGCAACTATATTTTCCGGAAATTTATTTTGAAGGGACATTATAGTACTATCAATTTATTATGTAGCACACAATGCCTCGGAACACCACGAATGTTTATTTTTGATTTTGACAATGATCTTGTTATCTCTTGTTCATTCCTGCAATGCTGAGACGTTAGAAGCTATGGTTTTGATATAAAAAAGCGTCACCATCTTAGAGTGGAGTTCAGTGTGCGACTGTGTAAATGTTTTCTCCAGTGTATTTTTTGTTAAATCTGCTGCTATGCTCAGTGATTTTCAGCCAATTGTATGCCAATAGACGGGCATTACAATCTTTATGATGATTGTATTGTTTTCTGTTCTTGTTTCTGCATTTACTTCACCCTTTTGATCTTGACTTTGTTTGGTGCTGTTGTAATCTTGGTACATGATTGCTAAATTGGATCTTTACCATGCAATTGAATACTTAAAATTGCTATGAGCTGTTCTACATTGATGTTATACACACGAATGAACCTGAGAAGCAGCTGTTCTCATGTACAGGAGATGCAGCAATTTATGATTAATTTTGATGTTATTTTCTCTGGAGCGTAAGTGTTAAAAACTCTTGTTTTTCCTTCCTTTCCGAGTGCTGGGTTCTCAATGGAATTGACTGTGATTATGTTAGAATGATCCGAAACCTTTGATGATATAGCACTACTAATTTATTATGTCTATTCTTTTATGCTAAAAGATTTGAATTGAAAATTTAGACTCTCTAATAATTTAGAAATCCTCCTAGCAATTGCCACATTTGCTTCTAGATGAAATTGTTTAAATTTTCCTCTTGCCTTTTGGGCTCAGTGTTTGATAATGCTTCTCTTAATTGCAGATTGAAGCTTTGGCTTTTCTTTGCATATGTCGTCTCCTTCGTCTCTTTAGCAGCATCAGTGGGTTTGTTGATTCAAGATTCAATTGTCAAAACAGGGCCTTCAGTTTGGACAGGAACTGCTGGCGTTTTGCAGTGTGTGTTTGTGCTGATAAGGTAAATGGTTTGTTCTGCAAGTCTCTCATCTGTCGCATACTGTTAGGTCATGATGTTAGTGCCTTTGTTTTGCCATGAACTGCTTATCCTCTGCCTTTGTTTCATAGAGGTGACTGAAGAATTTCCTGAGTTATTCAGGTTTCTGGTCTGGTCATCTTTGGATGATCTTGTTAAAGTGGTAGTTCATTTTTTTTCTTTATTCCTATAATCACTTCACCTTGCCTCTGACAAACATGCAATTTTAGAATTTAGATGATAGTTCCATGCATGTCGATTTGAGCTATGAAAAAGTTGTTGTCACTCGTTGTCACTCGGATCTGCTGGTCTTCCTCTCTCCATCACAATAACAATTTCATGCTGGAGATTCAAATATGCATAACAATTCATGGATTCACATGCGCAGTCATGTCCATTTTAGAGATGTTATTTCACATTGCCTGAACCAATTTGGATGTACCATTTGCTCCTTCTCTTTCTCATTGTTTAAATGATGTCCCCATTCTTTCTTGTTTCCTGCAGTGGGCTAATTTATTGGACCTCACATTCTGAATGAATTGTGGTGATAAGTACATCTACATGTTTTGAGCTTGGAAGCATGGCGGATGGAGTTGGCAGTGCATGTACCCTTTCTTGTACAACCCCCGGGACAGAACATACTTCTACATTGTGTAAATGTTTATCCTGTGCTAACAGTATCGAGCGTAAAAGCTGACCTGCTGAAATTTTCGGG